GGCGTAAGATGATATCTTTGAACGTCCCCTTTAGGGGTTTTCTGGATGAATCGATCCTTGTCTAGATCTAGCCTCCTGGCATAAGATTTAAAGTCTTTCACAAATTTTTATACTAGATCTAGAGATCTATCTACCTGGTGCTACGGAACCAAGCAAGCTAAATAATCAGACGACCGTGTTTAGGATTGATTTACTGAGACTCTAGATCTAGATTTAGCTAGTAGCTAGACTAGAAGATGATTCAGTCCAAACAAGACTATTGGGTCGGTTTGCTCGCCAGATTGATGGTGCATGCAAAGCGGCTATCGTGGCACAAGTCGATCGCACCCGGCTCGTCTGGCTCGTCATTTCAAAACAAACACGTTGTTTTCAGGCGACGAGTCGGGCGATCATCCCGACCCGATCTGACCCGGTACGGGTCACTGGGCAGCGGCGCGGCGGGCACCCCGTGTGCAAGTGCAAGTGCAAAGGAGCGCATTGTCCCCCTTTGCGTCGTTATTTTTATAGTCGTGGAAGAAAATTTCGGTGTTTTTAATTAAATTGTATTATTTTCCAAAATTTTGCGGGAAATTGGCTAAAATTCGCGAATTCACGAAAATGGTAAAAGTTGCGCGAAAGTTGCGCTGAGGGCAAAAGTTGCGTGCGCAACTTGCGGGTTGCGGGAGCGAATTTCTCTGAGGACAGAAAACGATTCTGTCGTCTGATTTCGTCTTCTCTTTCTGCCACCACCCACTCACAATCTAACCATATTTGGGATTATTCAAGCTGACCATGACGAAATTAACTCATCGAATTTTCATAACTAAATTTCTCTGAGTGGTGTGAATCTCATAACCTGCTTTTAAATGTGAAAAACAAATACAGTTGTGTGTAAAATTTAATGTAGATCTAGTTGTTGGCGGGAGGGGGGTGGCAGATCATGGCGCCGGCAGGCGGTCTGGGCTGGTCCGCCTACAATATGACCCTCATTTATATTTATAAACTTATCGAAAATTAGACCTACATCTTATTGTAAAAATAATAATTCAGAACCAGTCAGTCAAAATGGACAATCTATGACTCGCGGTTGACCTTTTTCATTTGTAGATTTTGCAAATCAGCAACCCCCACCCACCAATTTTTTTCAATGCGACCCCCCCCCCCCCACCCAAGGGAAGCAAACAAGTATTGAAAAGGCTTGTTTCTGTAATGAAGTTATGTCCTTTTTTCCTTAGAAAGCCGTTATTGTCTATTATCTATATATACCGGAGCGATCAAATTCTCCCAATCATTGTAAACCAACTGGGAGATTCTAGAGTCACAAATCTATTTGTTTGTTTTTGTGCGTATGTTTTCAGTTTGTGAGTGTGCAGGAGAGAAAAAAAAAGAAAGAGACTGTGTTTTTTACTTGTATTTTACTTTTAGTAGATCTAACTTTTACTCTTGACGAGTTGTAACAATTTAATTTGTTCAAGTGGTTTTTTTAATAGCTAAGACCTCGGACCATAAACAGAGCGGACATCAGCAATATGATTCAATATTATCGTTATTATTGTTGCACGAGAAAACTTATGTAATGACTGCTACATGACCACACCTATTGAAAAAGCTGCAGTGCAGCTACCATGCCTACTGTGATAATGTTAGAAAGCTTCTCTATGTCATCATAATGAAACTGAAGTACATGTATCTGCTGCAAATTGTGAAGAAAATCTGTCCGAAGAACAACAAAAACTAACTCTCAACAGTTCTTGGATTTTGGCCAGTTTTTTAAGGTATAGAGGGTGGACGTAGAATAAAAAACCCTATGAATTCCTGAGTAAGTCAACACAATAAGTGTTGTATATCAATGGAAAGGTTATTGAAGGGACAAAAATTATGCTGTATGCTTTTTCATTTACATATGACCTACTTACTTGGTATCTAAAATTAGACAAAAAAACTTTTTTCCTCATCTTTACATAGGCCAAGAATGAAAAAAGTTTGTTTTCAACGAAATTGATTCCATTTCTAGTTTATATCAAGGAATATTCAATTCTACAAAATATACAAAAAATTTGAGTAATTTCAGGCTAATTAGTGGAGATGACAGCCATTTAGTACCATGACCTACGTGTTCAAATTTGAAATGCAAACAAATAGTCTGATTGCATAAAAAATTATTATAAATTTGTTAAGGCTCCTCTGACCACTTTACCTAAAAGTAATGCATATTGGGTAGGTATTGATTTTAGACACAAATCAGAGATTTCACTCAACTAATTTGCATATTTGACCTGCTTTTGAGATTTTTCTATAAATAAAAATATAGAATATTTCACTAATATGGCCCATAAATATAGCCTATATTAGTGAATTCTTTTGTTCTTGCTTTGATCTTTGTATAAAAGAAAGTAATTCAAGATGGCGGACAGATGAGAATGATTTAGGTAAAATGCAACACCTTTTTAAGTATGAAGCTATTTTTTTCCTCCAAATTTTTAGAGGTAATTCACCAGAATCAAGTCTACACTCTATGTAGAAGCACCAAAATGGATAAATTAGACCAAAATATGAGATTTAGAGCCTTCCAAAACCATCAAACATTTTTGTTCAATTTTTAAAGGAAAGAACTGTTAAGAGTAAGAGTTAAATGTTTCGTCCTTGTCAATGAAGCCTACTGTTAGCCAACGGCACATTGTCTGCCTCACTGAACTGACTCCATAGTTGGGGTTAATGTACGTGTTTTTACTTTAGACCCTCATTGACACAATTTAGATTATTTAGGAGGCTGGCTTCTGACCCTGCCTATGAGGGCCAACACAGGGTGAGAGGGACACAAGATCTCAGTAGAAAGACCGAGATACTAGAAGAAAGTTCTCCCAACTCAGGATTCGAACTTGGGTCTCCTGTGTGTGACAGCGAAGCAACTAAGTAACCACCCAACCACACAAAGATACAGGTCAAGTTGGGTGTGAGGACAGGCAGTTCACGAGTTGTATTTCTAGGAGGTTCCCTGGGCACTCCGTCAGCTAAGTTTGTATTATTATTATGCTGGACTACAGAGCAGATGGCCCTGGTTCCAATCTCAGAGTGGGGCGTTCACGAACATGGGTCATTTTGTTAAGTTTTCAAGGCTCTCAACCCATATATAATCAGTCCTATTGGAGACAGATGATAAATTTGGAAGTCCTACCTCTTATACGATCTAATTTTCCCAATAGTGTTGATCGGGATATTCATCAAATACAATGGGCTGCATGAACCTCCCTCCCCCTTCTTTGGGCATATGAGACATTCCTGAAAATTAAAACTTAATCTAACCCAAGTTCTAACAGAATACTAAAAGGCGGGTAGTTAGAAGGTATCACTCACTGGTAGGTTCTACTTCTTTCCTTCCCATCTGTTGTTTCTGTCAATTATTTTTTCCCTCAAGCACTCAAGGAATGCTACGGTGTCATAGGCTTTTATTTTCTCCACCAAAAACAAACAAAAACGCTGACAAACCTACGATATGATAAAGCACTCCCACATTTATTCATGAACACAACACAACAGTCAATCAGCTCGGCTACGACTCCGTCTCTTCCACCAGCGAGGGCTCGGTGAACTGGAACAAATCTTTGTCAAAAATTTCCTCTGGCTGAGGATCGTCCCCCAAGTCCTCAGGGAACCACGTGGGCATCGGAACGTTCTCCGAACGGTCCTCGCGCAGACATTTCTTGGGGAGCACGGTGTCCTTGACCCGACAGAAGGTGTGCGGAACGCCCGCAACTGCCGGCCCCGTCACGTACAGAATGTTGTACTTGGTGTTGATGCGCCAAATCTGGGGACAATCAGAACAGCCACAACATTAAACCGTTGAAGAAACTCGGCATGGTGAAGCAAACAAATAAACCTTTCTCGCCTCCATCCACAGCACAGATCATTTATTAAGAGGCACGCTGCTCAGACCCAGCCTGTCTGAGCCAACACAAGCTGACTGGGACGGGAGATACAGGCCAGGACAAGCAGCCCCGAGAAAACCTACAGTGTCGACAAAGGTGTAAAACATATCATATAGTTCAACACATACATAGCGAAATCGGCAGGACTCAGAAATCAAAATCTTTTCGTTAAGTACAAATTAGTTACGTATTTAAATATTGTCGAACCTGTGTGAGACGGAATCTTAAGGAAGAAATTTTTTTTGTCTTAGACAGGAGAATTTAGGGAGAGATGGAAGGGGGGGGGGGGGAGAGTCAAAGGCCCAGCCAGTGGGATCAAGGACCGCTTGTCCGATCGGCAAGCAGTGGTAAAAACTTCACACCTCTTAATTGCTATCCTGTCAGATAATGACATGCGTCAGTCTTACTTATCTTACCACCAGTGCTTGCCTTTCATAGGACCACTGTTTGACACATTAAAAACAGAAATGTTTAAACATCTCCTTTGCTTCCACCCTTAGCCCCACCCACCGGTGTAACAAGCACAGTCAACCAATGCTACCCCTCACTACCATCATGTAACAACGATTCGAGGAACACTTTTCCAGCTGGCCGTACGATCAGGGAGGCAGGCATTGGTTAATCTAATTTCACACCTCTGGCTTCTGGATACCCAGGAAATTTTCAGTAGTGGCTGGCTACTCGAGCACCCTGACTGGCAGTCGTGAGATTTCACACCCACACTACCCTGACCATTTGCATAGCTCAGGGCTCACAAGATGGGGTAACATCTACCCTCAAATTGCACCCCTACTCCCCTTCCTCGCCCAGCGGCACTGCCATGGCTTTAAGTTTAGAGCCGGAGGAACCAGACTTGTGAGTTTTGTTTCAAAACAGGGCCGAGCGGGCAAAGCATTTTCCGTCTTAGACAGGTGAAACCCTCCGAAGGGAGCGAGTTTCCGTGTTGGACAGCTTTCTGTTTTATACAGGTAATTAAAGAGGAATATATCAAGGGGGGAGCGGGAAGATTCCAGTTTTCGTTTTCTACAGGTTTCTGTTAAAGCAGGTTTGACTGTACAATATACACTTATAAAAAAACGGGGATCAGAAAATCTGTTTGCTATGTGCATGCTCATTATGTTAGACCTGCATGAGAGCCTCAATCAGATTGTCTGAAAATTTCTCTTGTAATCTAAATAAATCTACATCTAGATCTAATAGAACAAGTGAATAGGAATAGGCCTTGAACGAGAAATCTACATCCGATTCCAAACAGAAGGACTCAGCTGAGTCTACGTACCTGATGAAATGATTTTTACCAACATTGATATTACAGCACAACCTATAATAGGGTTTGACACAATAGAATTGGAATATGAATCCTCCATTGAGGTCTATAAATGATCTATATAATCTAGATCTGGTAGAACAAGTGAGTCGGACTTGAATGAATCCACATGATCTGAACAATCAGTCAATAAACAAAATTCAAAATGGCCGCTCGAGCTTGAAACAAAGTAGATAATTTAGGTCGTCGTCCTTTTTCGTATTTGTATTTCTACTCAGGTTCCGACAATTATGTCGGAGACGCTGACGTCGGCAGCCGGCACGAAAACGAAAGTGCTGACAAAGCCGACGGGAGAAAAAGGGGGCGCTGGCAGTCGGCCAAGCCTCGCACTTCGCACATTGACTAATACAGGTGGGCCTAGCGATAGCATTGGCCGGCTCGCGAATGTCGGATTTCAGACGATTGTCGGCAAACATGCAGGTCTAATTATGTGCATGCTACACTGTATATACTTTCATCTGCAAACAACCATACAATACAGTCATCTAAGGATTGGAATCTCAAATAATGACCATCTGTCTCTGACAAGACAAACCAAGAAAATGCCACAAACTACCCAGGGAAAAAAAAGACATGCCAGTTAAAGATTTAAACCAGGGTTCCCCACAACAAGGGTCACACTTATAATATGAGCTGTGCAGTGGAAATTTACAGTGAGGGAGGAGAGCCCAACACACACATTAAGAAATGGGCGGGGGGGGGTGTCTGACAAGACAGTGAATTGTGAAGTGACATTCTGACAATGACTATGAGATAAATACATACGTTGCGGATTTCTAGACATGACACTTAAGATAGACAGTAGAAATGACAGAAAGGAGATAAAAACTTGTAACATAAGACAATAAGAGTACAAAATTTAGCCAAAAGTAATATCCACCTTGAAAATATCATGAGACACATAGAAGAAATGCCTGGTATCTCGATAGGGGGACATAATATAAACAATCTAAGATATGCAGATGACACAGTCCTTATAGCAGAAGATGAAGAACACCTGCAGAATCTATTAAATGTCATCGTACAAGAGAGTGACAACATGGGCTTAAGCCTAAACATCAAGAAAACCGAAACGATGGTGATAAGCAGAAAAACTCCAATCCCAACATGCAATATCAAAGTCAACGATACCACCCTCAAGCAAGTACAACATTTTAAATATTTGGGGACCATTATATCATCAGATGGTAGATGTCACACCGAAATTAAAAGCCGCATTTGCCAAGCAAAAACAACCTTCCACAAGATGAAACAGATACTAACAAACATCAATCTGTCACTGGAAACGAGGAAAAGAGTACTAAAAAGTTACACCGAGCCAATCCTATTATTATTATACGGGTGCGAAGCGTGGACAATCAATAAACAGCTGGAAAGAACAATTGTAGCGACAGAGTTGTGGTTCATAAGACGCATGCTACGTATCCCATGGACAGCTAGAAAAACAAACGAAGAAGTCCTGGTTGAAGCAAATTATAGAAAACAAATTATCACGAATATAAGAAAACGACAGGCAAATTTCTTCGGACACACAATGCGGAAAGAAGCATTAGAGAATATTGTCACAACAGGAAAGTTTGATGGAAAGAGAGGCAGAGGCAGACAGAGGGAAAAGATACTGGACAAGATGACAACATGGTTGGGAGCAGCAAGAACAACAGACACCATTGCTGCAGCGAAGGACAGGGTGAAGTGGAGGTCCATGGTCGCCCACGCCAGTCGGCAAGGCACCGGATGATGATGATGAACATCCACCCCCTACCTCCCATCAACCAGAAAAAAAAGTGATCAGTCCCGTGACAGAGACAGCGATGGGTCATTACCTTGAGACCAAACTGAGTGCTGAGTCTGTTGCCCATGACTCCTGGCATTCGCTTGCCCCGCCAGATGCCATCTTTGTCCTGTGTGGGAAGTTCGAGGTTCGCATTGAGAGAAACATTAACAAAATATCGGTTATGTAGTGCAAGGAAGAACAGACAAAAACAACAGAAGGAGAGAAAAGAAGTCGCACTACCAGTGGCACCCTTCAACTATCTACTGCAGGAAATTGGAAGTTCGCATTGAGAGAGAGACAAGGGTTATAGTTATGAGTAAAAAAAAGATCGTGCAGTAATTTACATATGTCTTGGTTTTCTACATACGATATCAAAGATTGACAAAATAAACATTCGCCATCTTTCAACATTACAGTGAGTCAAAATTTAGAAAAAACTACAATCAGCAATGTTGTAGTGTTTCATGAGGTGAATTGATTGGTCTTAGATTCATTTCTCTTCCCTCTTGTTAAAACAGTAACAGATCAAAATGAATTAAACTTTTTGTATTGAGATTGTGTTCTGAATGAACGAGAGAGAGAGAGACAGAGAGACAGACAGACAGACAAACAGAGACAGAGAGACAGAGAGACAGACAGACAGAGAGACAGACAGACAGACAGACAGACAGACAGACAGACAGGACAAGAGATAGATAAAGAGAAAAAAATCAGCACACATACCCCTCCGCCTCCTGTTCCTCCCATCTTGCGGTGTGACTTGGTGACTCCATGTGAGGCAGGCATGCCCTTCATCCCCCATCGCTTGATCACACCTTGGAAGCCCCAGTCTTTTCTGGAAATAATATAAAAATAATCGTTCTTAAATTTGTGTTTGTGTGTGTATATGTGTGCAAACGTTTCCTGGAAATAATATAAAAATAATAGTTTTAAAATTTGTGTGTATGTTTGTATGTATGTGTGCGTACGTACGTGAATAAGTGTGTGTGCCTTTGTTTGTGTGCGTTAATAAGTGTATGTAAGAGTGTATGTGTTTGTTTGCGAGCGTGAATAAGTGTATGTACGTGTGTGCGCGAGTGTGTGTGTGTGCGCGAGTGTGTGTGTGTGCTCAGGCATGAATAGTACCTGTGTGTGTGTGTGTGTGTGTGTGTGTGTGTGTGTGTGTGTGTGTGTGTGTGTCTGTGTGTGTGTGTGATTTCTTCCCTGTGATTGATATGAGCAAATATACATTTTTATACAATCATTGTTCTTTGAACTAAGGTTTGTGTAAAACGCCAAGAGCTATGTGCACATAGGAGTAGGTGCTGTATAAAAATATAAAACAACATAACGAATACTTACGATCGTGACTGAACGTCAACAAAGTCCCCAACTCTGAAGTGATTCACACTCAGGGCAGTGCCTGGAAAGAGATACCATTGAAGGTTTGTGATATGTCTCAGATATAGTCTATATCTCATAACCTTATACATCTCAGACATAGTCTATATCTCATAATCTTATACATCTCAGACAAAGTCAATACCTCATAACCTTATACAACTCATTTATATATATATATATATATACATCTCAGACATAGTCAATACCCCATACTTTATACATCTCAGACATAGTTTAAACATCACACATCCGCAACTCGTAGATAGTCAATACACCATAACCTTATACACCTTAGAGAGAAGCACATCGACACAGTAATGGTCATTTACTAATTCAGTGCTTGGGGACAAATCAGACAGACGGACAGAAACAAGAGAGGGAAAGAAAAGAAGACAAACCCATCAAAGGCACACTCCAACTACCCACACAGACAAAGCAAGCGAGGAAACAAAAGAAAAAGAATCTACTAGAGACACCCTCCAACCACCGTCATTGACCATCTGCTCTTAATTAAGATGTTGCTGACGAGTGGGGTGAGTCAGCATGATAAATCAGCGTGATAAGTCTGATAAGAAAATCTCTCACCTGGTTCGACAGCGGCGTCTGGTGTGATGAGGAACCTGGTCAGCCATCGCTTGGGGGGCACTCCCGCCTTGACAAACAGGTTGTTGTAGGCTTTAGAGAACTGAGAGACACAGACAGATTGGATTGGTGTAGGCTTTGGAAAACTGAGAGATGATAAGGGAGGAGATGTTAAGCATTGGGGGGGGTGTATGTGTGTGTGAGTGTGTGTGTGTGTGCGTGCGGTGTGCGTTGGAGAAAGAGGGACAGGGGGACACCGGAAGTGAAAATATGTTGTTATAGGCTTTGGAAAACTGAGACACACACACAGACAGAGGGGAATAGGTTTAAAAACTCTGTGGGTGTGTGTGGGGACACATGGCTATGGCTTGGGAAAAGTGACACGTATAGACTGGGGGGGGGGGGGAGAGAAGTTAGTTAGATGTAGATGTAGGGGGGGGGGGGGGGGGGGTGGACGAAGGGTATCCTGCCTTAACAAACAAAATGTTGTATGTTTTGAAAAACTGACACACAACACACATGCATATGGAAAAACTTCATAAATCTGGGTGGGGGAAAGGGAGGGGAGAAGAAGGTTGTCAGAGGAAATCCTGTGTTCACAAACAGGTTCATATAAATTCCAAGGAGAACTGATAGTCACATGACCTAGCTTACTTGTCAAAATGACCTATGACCTAACCCACCTGTCTGGGATCACAGCTGAGAGCCCCCACAATTTGTAGCCCAAAGCGTTCGGCGTGGTGCGGCTTGTGGCTGGGGTAGGCCGAGTACTGGGCTGGGGGCACGTAGTTGATCACATGATTGTCCAGGATCTGAAGGAAGAAACACCAGTCTCAGTAACAAAATCAATGATAATAACAATAATAATGACCATGTCTCTAGCCCCACTCCCTGATGGTTCTGGGTACTTCACACTGAAATGAAATTTAAACTGAAAAAAAAAAAAATCAACAGTTTACACAAAAACACATTTCATGCATACACCATTCAATGTATGATAATACTTTCAAGTAACATATATATATACACCCCCAATGTTTGCATGGGTTTTGGTTACCATGGCTGCAACAGTGTTCTCCGACTCAATCTTTTCTCTTTGAATGAAGCAATGAAAAATAAGATACATGAGAATCTGTAACATGCAGTATAATGGTATTGGGCACAGATGGGCCAACCAGGGGTCCTATTTTAAGGGAAGACCCGGGTCGTCGATCCAAGGCAAAATCGATACAATTTTTCAAACTATCCAACTTTTGTTTTTTGCGGAAAAACATCCTTTGACATGTTCTATCGAGTCAAAATGAAGAAACTGTTGAAAAAACATCCTAAATGACCTAAAAGGGCGTTTGAAAAGTGCAAATTGCTCTAAAAATCCTTTTTAAAATCCCTGTTTTTTTTGTTTTTCTCAAAATCTACTTTTTGACGTATGTGACCTCCTGGGAGCAAGGAGTTTTCAAAAACTGCAGAAGCTAGAAGCTTCAAATTTGGTGTACAGGTGCTTTAAGATCGATTCTGGGGATCTATGAAAGGGAATTGGGAAATATTGGTAACTTGAGGAAATATTCAATTTTTTTTATAATAGGTACCCTAAAATTTCGTCAACTGACTCTAGGGGGTCCATTGAATTTGGGCTCACTTTTTTAGTTTTAAAAATAGGTCAAAACCCTTTCATAGATCCCCAGTTCATATAGGTTTGTACTTGTGTGCCAAATTTCAGGCTGATAATTCAATATTTACTATGACATTCTTCTGCACTAAGAAACTGGTTTGAAAATCCAAGATGGCCGCCACAGAGACCCATTTTTTAGAAAAATTCAACAAATTCACCCTTAGTACACCCTATTTACCTATGAACTTCTTGCACAATTACATGAAATTGAATAAAAGTCATTCGTTTAGAAAATTTTTCCGGGAGTGTACGTCTCCCCTTAAACTGAGGTTACAAACTATTTAATTATTTAACTTTACCTACCTACATTTTTAAAAGATTTTTTTTTGAATGAACAAAAAACAACTACCCCCGCCCCATACCAAAAAAAAAGAGGAAAAAATAAAGAAAAAAATATTGTTTTCAACAACAAACTTTAAACCCGGAACTTTCCCCAATGTGTCCCTTGTGTGACTATGCATATGAGACTGTGAAGCATCACCCGTTCCACTGCACAGCCCTAAATGACATCAGAGCTACCCTTCTCCCTCTGAGACCTAATATAGACAACACACTCTATGGAACATTACAGCAACTGCAGCAGACCTGCACTTATCACTACATGGCATTGGACAGAAGGGCGAGAGCCCAGCTGTTGCTGGATCGATAACAACAACAACAACAACAACAAACTTTTAATAAATAGAAAAGGAAAATCCGATACCTGCAGTAAGGTGACATAAAATGACTTTCCAGAGTTGGTCCATTGTTTGATTACGCCTAGCTTGAGGGCCAGAGCTCCAGTCCTCCTTGTGCTGGGAGAGAATAATTGTCATGTCATTAAAGTGTATTAGGTATATATAGGGGTATAGGGGTATTGGTATAGAGTGAGGGTGAGTCAGTCACATACAGCGAGAGAGAGAGAGAGAGAGAGAGAGAGAGAGAGAGAGAGAGAGTGAGAGGGGAGGCGAGGGAGGGAGGGAGGAGGGTACAGATACAGAAAGAGAAGAGAGACAAAAGGAGGGATGGGAGTACAGAGACAGAGAGAGGAGAGAGAGAGAGTCATTTCATGTAAGTGTCAACTCAACACTACAGAAGAAGCTGAATGGGCCAACAGAGGAGCTGAGCAGCACAGCCCAGTATGACAAATACCGGACTTCAAGTGTGATGCCATGAAGAAGAAGAAAAAACAGAAAGATGACCTAATAAAAACATACGTACCCATTTTGAAAGTCGTTCCTTTCCCAGGGCCCTTCCTTCAAAGGACTTGGAGACAAATACTGGTCTTTGATCACATCCTGCACAAAAGTTTCATTCTCTGAGGTGAGACTCGCGTCTTGCTTTGTGGTCCACTTCCTCACATGCCAGGGTCTGCGAGTAGTGGGACGGACCACATACTTGGGGCTTCGACTTTTCTCTCTAATTTGTTGCACACATACAGAGCTGAAAAAAAAAAAAAAACATGAAGTAAGACCTTTCACTTTAGAGTGTTCGATGACAGGGATTTTGTTGTGAAAGATTTACACACACTACAGACTACACACATGTCTGTCCTGGTCAACTAACCTGTAGGCCTACTACAGCCTTTATTCTTTATAAGTTATTAAATTGATGAAGTAATATCTAGGCTACTTCTAATTCTCATTGCAAACCTCTAAATCATATCCCAAACATTTACAGTTAAAATGACAGGATTCAGGATTATGCCTCTCTCTCTCTCTCTCTCTCTATATATATATATATATATATATATATATATATATATATCTACACAACTATCAAACTTGCCATCACCTCAGCTTCCTACTTAGGGTAAGGCCACACTGCTGGCGAGGTGAGGTAAGAACATGATCAGGTGGCCACACCTGGTGATATGAGTGAAGCCATTTTATTATTTGTCTTTAACCTAACCATAATTAGATGTTTTGCAATGAGGCTTGATATCTCTCTATATCGGCACGTGCGCCGAAAAGTAATCATTTAGAACCAAACGCAATCGTCGGTAGAGCCAAAACCAGACACTCCAGTTATTGTTGCGGCCAAAACCTGATTCTCTCAACAACAAAAAAAGAGACCTAACTCTAACCCTACCCCTCAATTCTACTCCGTCTCATAGTGGTCGCTCGTTACGGAAGTCCTCCCATCTTTTCATGGCACTCTTTCAGAGAAGTGGTCCCGGCCTAACTCCGTGGTCCATAGAAATTTATACACAAAATCGGAAACAAAAACGTGAGTTGAGAAAAAAGGCTGTCTGAGTTGCCAGGGCGAAAAGATCACCGGTAAATTTATTTTAAAAAGGTCAGAACCCATTTTAGATTATCTTTCGGCACTATTTTGACGGTTTTTAGTATGCTGAGAACAATTTTGGCACTAAGAACTGTCACAAACCATTATTTTTGTGAATATAGCAGGGGTGACACCTCCCTTACCCCAGGGGACACCTCTCTTCATCCCCCCCCTTTTGCAAGGAGTAGCACCCCTTTTTTATACGACTTCCGTTTTTGCTTCCATTGGCACATGGACTACATACAGTATATAGTGGATTTGATGTCAATGTATAAAAATGTCAATAAATGAAAATATAAAGCCAAAGAGGAAAAAACAAGGGGAGGTCAGCGGCAAAAAGAAAACACTACCTGTCCTTTTTAAGCTGGTTGCTTTCCTTGATTCTTACACAACTACACAGTGAAACTAACAAAAGACAGGGAGTTACGGTGCCAAAGACCGAGAAACGCGAGCGCAAGTACACACCATCGCAAACTTTGTAGCATCCTTGTAAGGCTTGTTTATGGTGGCTTGCTGGGGAAAATGGAAAGGCGAGGCACTGACTCACTGACCGTCACACTTGCCAGCGACAAACTGAGATTGGGATGGGGAAGGGGAGTGGGGAGGATGATCGGGAGAGGGGGTAGGGAGGTGATGCCCAGTGCTTGAGACACTCATGTCTGTGAGGCACTGTACTGTGTTGGAGACTACTCTGTGTAGGCCCTACATGACCTACTAAAGCCTGGTGTGTCGATATAGGCTACTTGGCGGGTATGCAGACTTAATGAAGAACTAATGCGTTGATGGTTAGCGTGGCTTTTCCCCCATTTATGTTCGTGGGCTTCACCAGGTACCCTGGAAGCATGTCGATAAAGCAGAGTAGGCCGAAAAAAGTCGATACAAGAGACATTGTTTAGTGAAGATACTGAAGGAAAAATTTCGTAATTAGAAAATATGTTGATATGTCAAAATGTCGGTACATCAGCTGTCGATATAAGTGGACTATACTGTAACTAGTTGGGTCCCCTTTCGACGAAAGGAATGATCGGTTCATTAACATCAACTGAATGTCATTGGTCTACTATATTTACATTCCACTGGAATCTATATATATATAAAAGTGTACTTGAGAGGCTTTGTGCACAAACTCCTCCCTTATTACCTAACCTACACCTTTGAAGCTTTGCAGGCGCCCACAGAATCCATGTGGCTAGGACCTAACTTTTAAAAATCCACGCAAACTGCTTTCCCCGATTTTGTCCAAAATGCTTTGTTTCGTCCACACAGAGTTCTAGCATTTCAATGCAGTTGAATGCAGTGTTCAAAACATATTTCAAGACTTTCGTTCACATGCTGTGCGCACTTAACCCACAGCGACTTGACGGTTGAGTTCGTTCATCGAACGGGGTACCCAGCTAGTGGAGCAATAAATCTTGAGAGAAAAATGACACATGTGTTTCCAAGTTGCCAAATATATAATAGATGCATAGATTGATTCTCTGTTCCGCTTTCATGGTTGTACAGAAGCGTGTTGATTGTTCCCAGTAGCAAGAAAAAGAATTTGACAAAGGAGTCCAGAAAAAGCGATGATGGGCATCAAACGAAAGGATCACAGTCGAATTTAGCACCAAGTAAAAAAAGAAAACAAGGCTAAATCTATACGGGTTGCACATTTAAAATAGTGCTAAGTATTGCACGACAATGCGCGATAGTATCGAACAGAAGTATGACTTGAAATAAACAAACCTGGCGGATTTTCAAAAATTACAGACAAAAGCGTCGGCCTACAAAAGCGATCGGCGATATAAAGAAATTCAGCGTTTTGCAGCAAAACTGTCTCAAAACTTTTTTAAAAAACAAAAAAAAACCAAAAAAAACGAAAGGCGACATGATCTGGAAAATATTTAAAAGAATCTTTTGGTGAAAACCGAATGTCGGTCGATGCAGCCATTAAAAAGCCTTTTGAATAGCAAAATTCGGCCACCACAAATAGATAATAGATTGATTCTCCATTCCACTTTTGTGTTTGTACACTCCATCATATCAAAAGTGTGGAATTAGTACTGGCGCACGGCTAGTGAGCGGAAACCTCACTTGTTTACAATGGCGTTTTAGTAGACGGACTTTTGTGGACGAAACAAAGCATTTGGGAAAAATCGGGGAAAGCAGTTTGTGTCGATTTTTAAAAGTTAGGTCCGAGCCACATTGAAGCTGTGGACGTCAGCAAAGTTTAAAATGTGTGGGTTAATTGCCCCTGTAGCCTGAGGTAGTTTTTACGTGTTTCTTATACATGAAACTGCAGCGAGCACCTAGCACACCTCTGTGATTGGCCCAAATAGATGACGTATTTCCGTCATCTATTTTTGTTGCCTTCCCGGGGTTCCCTCGCCAGTTGAGTTGATTGATCTACCACAGAGAAGGCGTAGGCTACGGCACTAGATCTAGGTTTCATCGCCGACTGCTTGGGCTGTGTGTTTGTGTGTGTGTGTGCACGCGCTTGTGTATGTGTATGCATGCGCTTGTGTGTGTGTGTGTGTGTGTGTTTGCACATGTGTGTGCGCACACACGGTTCTTGTTTGTGTGTGTGGGTGTACAAATTTGAGGAGAAGGTAAGTTTATGGAACGAGAAATGCTGAGATTGTTTTAAAAAGATAACACAAATTAGTACAACAACAACAAAAAAAAAACAAACACGGCGAGATCTAGACTTAGTCAACAGTTACTGGCGAGAGACACCCAAGAGTCTAGGGGGAAACCCCGGAAGATAACAAAAATAGATGGCGGAATACGTCATCTATATTTAGGCCAATCACAGAGGTGTGGTAGTGGTAGGTGCTCGCTGTAACATCATGTGTTCCTTATTTAGATCTAGATTCTAGATCTAGTTAGATTATTAGACTAGAGAATCTATCTAAACTGAATTAAAATTGCGGAGTGTCTATGTACACTGTAACTGGGCACGTAGTCTCAGTATCTACATACACGGTAACTGGGTGCATAGTTTCGGGGGCCTCTTGAGCTAGGTGCACAATAAATGCTTCACTTCCTTCAAGACCATGACTTTTTTCATTTTTCCCCCGCTTTCCTGTTGTGTTTGTATCCAGGTTCATGTAAAACTTTGAACTCAAATAACGGAACACAACCGTCTTGTTTTCTCAAGACAACTGTGAACCCAAATAATGTAACACACTCAAAGCACCCCCCCCCCCTCCAACATTAAAAAACTGCACCAAAGTTGTTCATTTCTTTCTTTTGTTTACAATCCTTTATCCTCAATTAATACGTATCACAGTACACACTTTAACTCACTTACTACAGGGCCCCTTCACCAGTCACAAGCATTGAAGACTGGCGTTTTGGGGGGTATTTCAATAAATCACAACAACTCTTAGAATTACCCTATTGTAATTATTTTTTGACACAGTAAAGTAACATTCAAGCTTAATCTAATACAGAAACTAAAGTTGAGTAAGTCTAATACTTTAATTTGTGTATGATTTTTAAAAAATTGGCATGAATTTGATTTTCCTAAAAATTTCCAGAGACGTGACAGGTAGAATGAAATTCACTACAACAACAAAAATAAAAGTTCAAAGTGTTCTGGTTTGATTTGTATCCATGTGCGAGTGTTTGGTGAAAATATAAAAGCTGGTCTGTGCACTGATTCAGACCCATACACTGAATTACATGAGACAGATAGATATACGGCACGACGTTGTGAATTCGTTGCGCGAACAACAACACCAGTACTAGTGCTAGATCTAACCCTAGAACTACGACTCGGGCCGTGTTCGGGTACATATCCAGGATCCTAACTATTAGACACATCATATTCTGAGACACTAGAACTAGTAAAACGTACAGAAGTATAGAAAACGACGAAATTATGTGATTCTTGTTCATGCGACTTCTTCGACCGTTACTACGACGCGACTGTCGGATTACTATCAGCTGTATAGAAAAAAACAAAGCGCGAGTTCCCGTCTGTTCAACCCCAGTTGGGGTCACTGTCCTTCACCTTCAATAATTTAAAAAATACCGGCCCCAGAGAAACGAAACGAAGTCTAAGAAGCTCAGGCTTGGCCAGACAAGGGTACGAGGCTGGTCTCGCGATCCGTGCGTGATTTGTAGAGCGAAAAAAAAATTCCAAATTTGGTCACGCACGGGCTTGTGGGAGCCGTCGCGAGCGTCGGGGCGGGGGTCACGCAACTGTTGTGTGAATCGTCTGAAGTGAGTTAAGCCCAAGTGTCCAAAAAATCCCCCCCCACCCCTTTCCCTCCGTCATCCCACATTGGTTAAGTCCTGAAAAACACCTCGACCGATGCGACAAGTGAGAGGGAACTTTGTTGACCTCGACAACCGACGGTCCCCGACACACGCGCTACTCACACGTAGGAGGTTATGTCACAGAATGTGAACAAGCTTTTGAATGTTTCACTGACAGGTCTTGATAACCAGAACTTGGACAAAGCTTTCTTTTATTTAAAAGCAACGGAAAAACAACGAATAGATTATTTTTAGGCCTGATCTAGATTCTAGATCTCTATGTTACAGTAATCAGGCCATCGTAAGAGAATTCTGGGTAACAAAAGCAAAAAAAGTCAAGGTCATGAAGGGACCGAAGCATTTACCGTGCACCTAGCTCAAGGGGCCCCCGAAACTAAGCGCACCCGGTTACCGTGTACGTAGATACTGAGACTACCTGCCCAGTAACCGTAGACACCCCTTTAAAATAGGAAGTGGCTATTCTCACCCGGGGTGAGAATAAAAATACGATCTACCTCTCACCCCGGGTGAGACTTGCCAGCGTAGGCTATAAGAAAAAATTGCGTTATAGCACAAAAGTAAACTAATTAATTTGATCGTCTTCAAAGATGCAATGGCTATTGAACTTTTCGAATCGAGCCGAACTACGCGGGTCGCCATTTTGTTTTGCCTGGAAGTTCTCGCAAGATCTACTCCTCCCCTCTCTCTCTCTCTCTTTCTGAATAGTCTATCGGTGTGGACGATCAAATTGACCAACACAAAGTTAAAAAATGATGTTAAAAAACTAAACTAAATTAATTTGGTTGTCTACAAAGATGCTACGGCTATTTAACTTTCCGAATAGAGCCGAACTACGCGGGTCACCATTTTGTTTTGCCCGCAAGTTCTCGCGCTACTCCTCTCTCTCTCTCTCTCTCCACTGCCCACAGACAAAATTCCACGCTTTTAGGCTAACATTAACAGTAGTAATGGCCACCTCTATTCTCACCCGGAGTGAGAATAGTGCAGGCGAGTCTTGTGGCTATTCTCACCCGGTGCGCGTTCACCAAATTT